GTGGGTATACACGGGATTTCTACTCACTCCTATTCGGTTTGCACCAATCACAGCTAGAGGTAGACGGACGCTGCAAGCAACCCGTGCATGCTTACCCTAATATAGATTTTACAAATGCTACCATGTGACTGATTTACATAATTCAGATTATTTTTTTTTCTAGGAAAAAGAAGCTGTGCTGGGGAAATATTGGCCAAGATGGAGCTGTTCATCTTCTTTACAACACTGCTGCAAAACTTCACCTTCCAGGCCCCTCCAGGAGTTGTGCCGGACCTCACCCCTGCACTGGGGGCTACAAACGCCCCATTGCCTCATGAAATCTGCGCAATTTCCCGCACCTAGGTTAAGTCTACTCTGAAATAATTAGTCATTTATTAATAGTGTACATTTTTCTAAACCAAAAAAGATTATCGATAAAATACATTATTCTTAGTAATATCACACAAAGGAAAAGCAGCAAAAAATGACTAATTGAGGCTTATGGTGAATGCCCTAAACAGCTTCAAATAACTACTTTGGACATACACGTTACACTCTGTTCCTGTCATCGGCCGCTATTACAGGCAAATCCCGGCTGTCAAAATGACAGCCAGTACTTTATTTGTATTGCATCAGCAGCTGCAGGCAATGTGTCAAGGTAACGTGCGTGGGTGTCCTCACACCGCATTCAGGAACCTCCACAGGAGGACCAAATGCTTATTAGTGAGCTTATATACAGTTTATTATACACACCAACATCATGTAAACACATAATAACAGCTAAGTGAATGCAAATACAAACACAACACAGACTATAGGGCAAGAGAAATCAGGGAAGCAAGGCAACACAAGGGGAGCAACGGGGCAAAGGTCAGGGTACTAGGGGGCATCAGGACTCAGGAAATGGCAACAATACTGAGCCAAAGTCCACACTGCAGGGAGGGATTAACCACTTCAAGACCAGGTGTTTAGACCCCCTTCCTGGCCAGGCCATTTTTCAGTGTTCAGCGCTGCGGTACTTTGACTGACATTTATTCCGTCATGCAACGCTATACTGAGATGAATTTTATACCATTTTGTGGGGACAGATAGAGCTTTTTTTGGTGGTATTTAACCACTACTACGGGTTTTATTTTTTAACATAATTAGGAAAAATTACTGAAAATTTTGGGAAAAAAAAGTTTTTTTTAACATTGTTAGGAAACCCTTATTACCCTGTTTTTTGGTAAAATATAAGAGATGGGGTCACGTCGGGTAAATAGACACCAAACATGTCAAGCTTTAAAATTGCGCGCACCTGCGACATTGCAGAAAACTACCATACCCAAAATTGGCCATAGGCGACGCTTTAAAAGCTTTTACCGCACATCAGTTTAGTGTTATCAGTGATTGATGGCCCTAGACTTATTGCTCTCACTCCGACGTTTGCGGCGATATGTAACATGTGCGGCGTAATGGGCGCAATCGTCTTTTTTGCACGTATGCCCCCCGACGCATGTTTGCATGCGTGTATGTATGGGTGGGGACTTTTAAATTTTTTTAATGTTTTTTTTAAATTCTTTTTCATGTGTAACTTAAAAAAAATTTTGGGGGGGGCTTTAATTTTTTTTCCTTTTTTTTTTTTCACTAAACTTTATTGCTATCACATACGGGGTCTAATAAAACCCCCTATGTGATAGCAAAATATGTGACAGGTCCTCTTTATGGAGACATCAGGGGTCTCCAAGACCCCTAATGTCACCTAGGACCCCCCAAAAGAAGCTGATGAAGCACA